AAAAGACGGGCAAAAGAATCCACAATTTACCGCAGACAAAGGTTTCAAATATAGCGGTTTTTAGCACTGGAACTGGAATGATTGTGGGGAAATGCGCAGGTTTTGCACTTTAGATTGCTCCAATGAGTGCTCGAGCTATGGAGCCGGTACAAATGAAAGGCTCCCCTTTCGTACAGATCTATGATAAGGCAATATGTCGATGTAAAATTGAGAATACAGAAGAATTAAAGCTCTGGAACAAAGAAAATTTATTCACATTTTTTTCCTTGAATTTCAGCCCGACCAAACTGTGCAGCCAAAAATTATCATCGTGTTTCGCCCAAGTCTTTATAAAAACCTCTCCTAAAGCGTTGAATGTTTGGGGGTAAAGAGTGGACCTTGCTCTCCAAAATACTCGCTACAACATAGTGTGTACAATGATTAACAGGTGAATTGCACTGAGTACATTATGTTGCATGCTGAGAGCTGCGAGTCTGCGAAGGAACCGCGCTTCATATAAGGAATTTCCAGGAAAATCATCTTGTCATCAGTTGTTGACAGTCAAAAGGAATCGATGAAGCAATGACAGTATAGAGGAAGAGGCAAATCTTTGAGAGCAGGATTTTTCTTACAAAACTGGAATTCGACATATATTTAAAAGACACCTAATACACGCACTTAAGCTAATAAAATGTTGGAGAAGAGATTTCAAGGGATTCACCAAAATATTCTACGAGATGAATGTCATGAAACATTGGTTGAACTACTCCAACAAAAAAAACCTCAAGCACATTCTACTGTTGTTATTAGCTTGGAAGATTGTCTAATTGACAATAATTGAATTTTAGCGCGCGTAAATTTCGATTAACAAATCAGATTTCGACATGATGTTGTTTTCACTTAGCGACTTGTCTGGAGTGTGGAAAACAAAACCAAAAGCTCCAAATTTCGTATAGCAAAAAAATATGACGCGAAATTTGTTCTCATATGTGGAGAAAAGATTTAATTGTCAAAAACTTTTTGAAAGACATATAAACGAGGAATGAGTATGCAGTGAATTTGAACTCTCTTGATGAAACAAACCTTACGCAAGCAACAAACAAATACATCGCACAGCTATAGTAGTGATGTTTGGTTTGTACATGGCTAAGCGAGTTTACGATCAATCGCGAGTTGTACAAATTGAGGTCGTAAAAAACGTAGAATTAATTTATTGTTCATTAATTGCAATTTACCAACCAATAACGAGAAGGCCAATGAGTTACAGTACTGTGAAAATTAAGTTTAAAGATCATAAAACAATTCAATACCCACGACTCCGTATGAGCTAGAGGTAAAAACCATTCTTAATCCATTCTGCCCTTCAATGTGGTGATGTTGACCTGGAAAAAAAATGTTGACAATTATCATGAATTATCTAGATTTATTGTTACACAGAGTGTCCCAGAAAGACTTTTTGGAAGATGACTTCTCTCTATTTCAAAGTCTTTTCTAAACCTTAATGATTTATGATGAAAGAGGAACGGTCCATTACGGTAGGTTACGTCTGAAATTGTAAAGATGACATGGCGGAGTACCGTAAGTATGGTAAAAATGGATTGATTGTAACGCTCCACCAAATAGCTCTCAGCGCTGCTATATACTTTTGTTTAAAGACAGTAGCGCCTACCCTAGTGCTACAGGAATGCTATAAATCATAATTAGGAAAAAAAGGAATTATCACAAACCATGCAATGGACGCATTTGGAGAACCTGCATAATGAAATACATAGGAAGATGATATATTGAAGTTACAAAATATAGAATTGAAAGTTCAATGCTCACATAAAGAAAATAAGAAATTTTTTAACAATGTGGAAGTATTCCGACTAAACGCGATAGTGCATTTTCGAAAGAGCTTCCCAACGGAAGCTTCGAGGGTAAAAAATAGAGCTTTCCTAGGTACGAAAAAGGAGTTAATCATAAAATGATCTTTAGAAAAAAAAAACAGGAAAGCCTATACCAAAAACATTGAAAAAAAAACAAGAAAAGGAAAAGAAAAGCTGAAGCGACATAAAAATCTCCAACCTTATCTTTCGTAATCGTATACACAACAACACCCCATCCGGATGCGGCATCTCTTTCTAAGCATGATAGCATGGACTGCGCAGTGGCTTCAAACAACTCTTCTGGGTTCATATTCTCCCGCCAAAAGCCTAGAAATGATATAAAGTATATGAAATAAAATCTTATATAATGCATGAAAAATTTAAAGCAAACTTATTTAAATGATTGATACGGAATGGATACATGAATTAAATCAAAAAGTACTTACTCTCACAAACACCAAGCAAATATTCTTGTCCGGTTCCAACAGCAACAAAGTCCTTCGGTGAAGCAATACATCCAATGGTGTCCATTGCGCAGATATAAGGCTTATTAGTGTCAGGGTCGAGACCGGCTACTA